CTCGCACATCCTTGTATGTTTTTAGGTGGCCCTCCTTACTATAGCGTCTCCACGTCCTTGTGTAGTAAAACTTCTCTTAATTCATGAAGACCGTCCCACTGTCAGCATAACTAGCTGACCCATTAATGTAGGAAGTTGCAAATTCAACTTGTCTCTTTGCTATTACAGTAAACTAGTTATATGGACCTTTGTTTGGTATAAAATAGTGCATCTTTGTCCCAGCATGTATTATGCGCAAGTTTATCATCACTTTATAGCAGTGAATTTCTAGCTTGTGAATGTATGATGGTTCCTTCTGAATGATGTACCAGGCCATTGTGTTCAAAGTTGAGGATTTCAAAGATTTGAAAGTTCCAGTTCCAGCAATTATTCAGGTACCTTCACAAAACAATTGTGTGGCAAATCTATTGTTGCTTTTACATGATTGATGTAGCGTTAGTTAGTTTAGTTATGCATATTCTAGTAATATCACTTACTTACAAATTGGATGATCTTGACATCCAATCGTGGACTCTCTGTTATTGCTAAAAATATAATCTGGGAGAACTACTATATGAACATCTGTTGGTGTTGGGTTAATAGTTCTCTGGAAAATATTTGTATGTCAGTCTTATTTGGGAACGGTTTTATAGTATGATGGGCTCAAAAATATTTCGTCCTTTGTCTTTGCATACAATTCCATCTCTAAGTTTTAAAGAAAATTTGCACATTGAGAGCGAGACAACCAGAGGATTGTTTGCTGAGCTCTGTCGGTTCCAGCTCATGGTCTGCGTCTTTTTGTCTTTTGATGCTGCTTCACAGTCAAAATTTTTAGCATGGGTGTTGCAATGAATTGGTTAAGATATCTTGATTTTTTTATTGGTAATTGTTTTTGATGATCCCTCATATTACAGGAGTACGTTGATCATTCTTCTACCTTATATAAATTTTATGTCCTGGGAGATAAAGTTTTCCATGCTGTTAAAAAATCTATCCCAAATGGTGATGCGCTGATGAAATTACCTGAGACAAACGGACGACAACCTCTTGTCTTTGACAGGTCTTTCGTGCATTTCTTCTGTTTGAATTGATCTTTGACTTATATACATACAGGGCACGTACAATTCTTCTTGTATATAGAGGTGTCTTTAGAAATAATTGGTATTAGCTTTTGACAGAAGAATTTCGTTTACAGTTTGAAATCTCTACCTACTGTCACGAACTCTCAGTCCAGTGGAGATGAATCTATTGCCAAGACTTCTGCCAGGTCTCTCAATCTTGATCCGGTCACTGATGCTGCAAAGTGGCTTTCTGAAAGGCTTGACCTGACCATCTTTGGCTTTGATGTTGTCGTAAGTTACTGTTTGTATCATCTTGGAATCTCGAATGTTATCAGTTCAAAAGTTCCTAGGTTCAGGGAGATGAGAGTATGCATTATTATACTTCTAGAGGAGAGAAATGAAGTGCTAAGCTACTACTAATTTATGTGACTTTAGAATGATACTGAGGATGGTGGATCCTCAGTAAGACCAACAACTTGTCATGAATAATAGTTGACATTTGTTCCCCTCCAGCCTCTAATGCAGATATTCCATGTCTTAGGACAACCAGAATTGCATTTTTGTGTCGAACTTAAAGAAGCCCAATAGTGGAATCACAGATTGTACAACAACTTGCTTAGGGCCCGTTTGGTTCGACTTTGGGGGAATGCATTTGGGGGAATGCAAATACCTTTGGGCTAAAGGGGTTTTCCGAAATGCAAGTAGTGTTTGGTAAGCGTTTTTTAAAATCAATTTGGGCTAAAGGACTTTTGCTAATTTTTTTTTTAAAAAAAAAAAGGCTCCGGTTGACTACACCGCCGGCCAGATCTGGTCGCCGGCCAACCGCCGATGGCCAGATCTGGTCGCCGGCCACCGCCGCCTGGGGTAGCGTGACCCCAGCGACCGCCGCCTGGGGTCGCCGGACCTCGGGGCGTCGCCCGGGTCGCGCCACCCGTGCGACCGCCCGAGGTCCGGGCGACCCTCAGCGGCAGGTCGCCGGGTCGTGCGACTCTCCGGCGACCATTGCCTGGGGGTCGCGGACCCCGGCGACCCCAGGCGGCGGTCGCCGGGGTCGTGCGACCCCAGGCGGTGGTCGCCGGAGTCAGGCTAGCCCTCAGGCGGCGGTCGCCGGCCGCCGGACCTCGGTCTGGGGAAGATGAACAGTGTCGATGAATAGTGCAAGTTGCATTCCGAAAATGCAACTTCCCAAAGCACCTCTGGTGGAGCATTGGCCAAAGGTCCCTTGGGGAGCATTCCAAATGCAATTGCATTTCCCCAAAGTGAGTAAAAAAAATTGCCAAACACCATTTGCATTTGGCCAAGGGACTTTAGAGCCCAAATGAGCATTGGGAATGCTGAATCAAACGGGGCCTAATTAGTCAGCTCCGATTGAGGTCACGTACTTATTTTACTTTTCACGGATACATTAGTGTTTTGAATAAAATAATCATGCTTATTCATGTGGTTAAAAGTTTTTTCTTCAGATAATGAAAACCGCTTTGTTGAGAATGAATTACTTAGGAAAAGAAAAATATCAACAAAAGTACAGTACGGGACAAACTCTTTTTTTATTCTGATGGACTGAATGTTATAGTGAAGGTACATAAAGAATGGTGAGGAACTGGCATAATACTTTGCCGGTTGACCCTTTCGGGTGTTTAACTTGTCACCACTGTGATAAACTGAACTTCGAGAGTTTTCTGACTTTTCGTATTCATCATCTATCGCTGGTCTGTGGAATTTCAGGTTCAGGATGGAACTCGGGATCATGTAATCGTAGATCTGAACTATCTCCCGTCGTTCAAGGAGGTGCCTGATGACATCGCAATACCTGCATTTTGGCGTGCTATCAGAAGGAGGTATGAACTGAGGAGGACGAACTGATAAGAAGGTGGTTCGCCATTTTGATTTCCATCTGCAAATTTTTTGATCTCAACTAACTTTATAGAAGGGGTCTAAAGTGGATAACTTTGGAGATGAGGCACTTCATATGGCATTCTCTTTTGTTTTCGTGCGTAGTCTCCATGATTAGTATGCATCTGCCTGTCCTCCCAATTGGCTTCTCAGAAATTTATTTAAAGGCACAATGATAGAAGTGTGACTTCTACAAGGATAAGTGATCATCGACTTCTCATGGGTGTAACTACAGTTTTACAGTTTGGGCATGCCTGAGAAAGATGCCACATTTTTAAGCTCGATGTTGGGTTGGATATTCTAGAGATTCGGTTGAAAGATATGCTCGGTTACATAGTCCTTTCGAATTGTTCGGCTGGTGGGGCATGACGGCCAATCTTAAATCGTCTTGAGAGGATTCTTCAATCTGGATCATATCCTTGTTTCGGCCTACTGAACAACTTGTTAACAGCTGGGCTCAACACATGAGTCATTTTCTAATAGGTAACAAGAGGTGAGTTCTCGGGGGAAAATTTCGTTGGTTTAAAGATGAGATGAGGCCTTTTGTTAAGCATGTGATAGATGACGGAATCAAACCTTCCTTGTCATACAATGGTTTCTCTTTACAAGTCTGAAGTTATTTCTCAAAGTTTTATAGTCACTAGTGGAGCTGATGGACGAAGTAGCAGTGTCAATCTGCTGAGCATCATTCATAGTGAATTGCCCAGCAAACAAGCATGCTTTGGGAAAAGACTGCTGAATTGTGGAAGCTCAGGAGATCCTTTAATCCATGGCATGATTTGCTCGAAGCAACTGTCATCGGTCCAAAAAATAAACCCGGAAAAACTGCACGTTACGTTGTATGTTTCGTGTTTCTAGATTGTTTTAGTCCATATCGCGTGGACTGGAGAACCGAAACTGTTTCTTTAGAGAATGTATTTCGCGTATTAGATGCACCGAGCATCGACTTTATTACAAACAAATCTCCGCTTCGCAAGCGGGCGAAGGGGATAAAGAGAAGGATGTCGCATTGGTGGATTGAAGGAATTTCTGTGTGGCAAAGAAAAGAGACAAGGACGTTCTACATTATGATTAATATGGTTTGAAACATAATAGCTAAATTGTCAAATGTGTTATAATGATAGGATTTCCTCGATGACCATCTCTCTCACTCTCGTGTAATTGTCAGGTAACTAATTAAGATAACAGATTTACGAGCAGTCATTATTTTGGCAAATGAATAATCTCAAATTAACTGCACTCAATAAATGCTTTGACGGCACTTATCAATCCATTGAGACCACGTATCTGTACCAAAGCCGCTTATGGTTTTAATACGACGCTTTGTACTAGTACCGTATTTGATGAACTACCGTTTACTAGTGATAAAGTAGACTGAAATCTGCGCGGTCCTTGCCTTTGAAATGTTATACTCCTTTTCTGAGAAAATGCACAGCAAAATGGCCTATTAGCTCAGTTGGTTAGAGCGTCGTGCTAATAACGCGAAGGTCGCAGGTTCGAGACCTGCATGGGCCATCGTTTTTATTATCTTTTTTTGGCAAATAAAGAACCTCGAAATTAAAAGCTTGTTTGTGTCATAAAGGAAATATTCTCTGGGATTTCTATAATAAGACAAATAAAAAATGTTCCCCCTTCTTTTTGACAAATAAATTTTTAATTTATTCAATATAATTCATGAATTTTACCTCAATGTTCAATGTAATCCATAAATTTTTTATACATGTTTAATTTAGTTCCTAAACTATAAGAAAATATTTAATATAATCATTCTATTAATCTAAGTTTAGGGACTATATTGATTATTTTCATAAAATTTTAAGAATCATATTACATATTTGATTATTTTCATAAAAGTTTAAGGATTATTTGTGTCATTCTCAAAAAAAAATATATACATTAGAAAAAATCAAACTCCCCTAGAAATATTAAATCGATTTTGAATTTTGAAGTCCCCGCTGGCACAAGCCATCCAAAAAAAAAAATCAAATCCATTTTCCGCTCAATTTAGAAAAAGAAAAAAAAGGCTGTACACACACACCGAGCGCTTGAACTCAGCCAAACACACACTCTCTCTCTCTCTCTCTACTCTCTCCTCTCTCTAACACGGCGGCATCAATGGCCGACCCCTCCTCGTCGCCACCGCCACCGCCACCGCCTCCGAACCCTAACCGCCTGCTCCCGCCGCCGCCGCCCGGCTCCGAGCCGCAGCCGCCGCTGCCGCCGCAGCAGCCCCGGATCCTCTTCTCGTTCCCGAAGAGGCCGGCCCTCCGGGTCACCTCCGAGTACGACAGCGACAGCTCCGTCTTCCTCCACAAGGTCTCCTGCAAGCTCCTCGACGGCCTCGCCAAGCTCAAGCTCTCCTTCGGCAACGACAAGAGGGGCGAGATCACCCAGCCCCAGCTGGCCTTCGTCTCCAAGCACCTCTCCATACACTACGACGTCGAGGAGCAGAACGCCCTCGTCAAGTCCTCGTTCGACGTCGGGCCGAGGTTGCATCTCAAGGCCGCGCGCGACGTCAAGGTCTCTCGATCCTTCCTTGACCTCGATTTGACTCCAATTTGATTGAATTTGAAAATTGCTAGGTTGGGAAATTTGGAGTGTTATTTTAAAAATGCTAACTTTGAGCTCGATTGCTGTCCGTCAGATGGAGGATATATAGCGATGTGCTGTTTATGCGAGCTTGTATTTCAGTAAAAAGCGTGTGGGTCTTGAATTGTTGCCTTATCTGCTGAGCTTGCGATTTGTGGCCATTGATTGCTTTTTGATGAGTCTTTTTGCTTGATCAGGCACAAGAAGGAGAGGTGTCCCTGGTTGCGGACCTTGCCGAACCCGGTTATGCGCTCGAGCTGTCGTCTCCTGTACCTACCGTGGGATTGGTTAGTAGATCCCTTTGCAAAGTTGTTGACGTATCTTTAATCTGTGTTTATGTAACCTCGGGTTTATAACAACGAGTGGTGTACTCCTGATGCCGCCTGTTTGAGGTGCTTTTTCGTCACTGACAGCTTCTGATGGCTCATCGCTGAATATGAAATAGTTAGCCATTATCCATATGCTTGTGAGGCTAGTATGTCGACATGAGTTGAAAACAGGGGAAAACAGAAGGGTACAGGTGCTAAACAATGGGCCAAAAAGCCTCAATTGAGTTTGAGAGGACGCCCATGAGATCTAGTTTTTGACTGTTCTACCGAGCATCTGCAATTTTCTTGATGGATTTTCTTTCCACTTCTCTTGCAGTTCAGAAATGTGCATGTTCTGATCCTCAAATTCTTTTCAATTTATGAAATAACATCCAATTTGTGAGAAGATTAGAAGTTTCATGCTGTTGAGGCATTATTGTTAAAGATTTATCTCCACGACATTTCAAATCCATTCCTCAAGGAGGAGATTGTCCATCACCCTTATGCTGAATTATTTATGATCATATATTTTAGCACTGTCTAATCATTCTCGTATTGACTTGCTATCCTTATTTATAGCCAAGGGCAACACTAAAGTTCCCTCTTGGTGAAGTCTCACTGGAAGAAAGAGAAGAGGAGGAAGTGAAGAGAACGTTGTCAGTAAGTGGGATTCTTAAAAGTCAAATCTGGAATGGAGTGTGCACTGCCCAATATGCAGAGGAAGAACTGAAACTAAGATATTGTTTTAAGGTGGTTCTTCTTTGCTTTTGTGTTTTTTGAACTTGTGGGGCTTCTTTTTTTCTTTTATTGGCTAATTCTTTTCTCCTAGTCCAGGGATTTACTGCTCGATATGGTTTCATTTCATTCTGCGTGAGCATATTCCATGCCCTTAATTGGAGAGCATTATGTTAACTGCAGGATGAGGAGATGTCATTTATCCCAACCATTACTCTGCCTTCAAATGCTCTGTCGGTTGCGCTCAAGCGTAGATTTAGTCCTTCTAGCAAGTTGAGGTTAGAATACTCCGTTATGCCTTTTTCAATACCACCTATTAGTCACTTAGTCTGATTACGATATCTAGCAATTCAATGATGAATTTGGCAATGGATGTTTCTTATGGCCCATCAGCTATATTATTTACTTTTTGCTGATGAAGCAACTGGTGTTGTGACCGTAACTGAAAAATGATTAGCTAGATATTCGTTTTTTTCCCAGAGTTCCTGGCTTGACTTCTCTGTTTGGTTCATGTTCAAATTCTCCAATGACATAACAAGCTCTGTCACGGACTCACGGTCAATTTGGTTAGCTATGATTAGTTTTTGGACATGTTACGTGTGATGATTTGTATTAAAATCGGCCTTTGAAGCAATGCTTTTGTCATCGATTCCCAAACCGGCATACAATTCTTGATGACGAATATGCATTTAGAGTATGAAGTTCCATAAACAGAGGCAGTGAGGTGGTATTAACCATCGATTTACATTTGCATGCTGGTCTTTAACTGGAGATCATAACAGGTTCTCCATTACTTAATCTGTGTTCACCCATTTTGTTTTGTCACCTAGGCATTTTTAACCATGTCACTAAACTTAGTACACTTACCTGCGCTCATTTTTTTATTTTTTTTCAGTAGTTCATATCAGCTTGATTTTTCTAATTGAGGGACAGGTTATGATTAATCTTATTTGTTCAATGGTTAGCTACTGGTACAATTTCGATTCCAATTACTGGAGTGCAGTTTACAAGCAAACTTATGGCAAGGATTTCAAGTTTAAGGCTGGGTACGATTCGGAGGTCCGCCTAGGTTGGGCATCTCTTTGGGTAAGTGCTATATTTGTAGGCATTTCCACATTGAGGCCTCAAGAATATCTTGATATGAGTAAAGCACTACTACAAGGATATTCAAAGCCTTATCCCACTTGATGGGGTCAGTTCTTGAGGAAATAACAAATCTAGTACCCAATATGGGAACAAGTCTCTGTTGTGGTCTTAAAGAGTTGCTATGCTCAATTGCACATTTCTCTCCACTTTCTGTAGTTGAATTAGGTTAGTCGAACGTGAATAGCCTTGTCATTTGCACGAAGTTAAGTATCTAAATATTTCCACATGAAAGAAAAAAACTACTTCCCAGTGCCTGGTAAGTTAAGGTTAGGGATTTTTTATTTGCCTTAACACTGTTCCTCCTTTGATTTAAAGGACTTATTGTTTAAAAATCACTTTTACAAGTTCCTTAGAGTTGGCGGTGAATTTTGACTTCAAAGAGCTTCCTGATCTAGGTTGGAGATGAAGACGGCAAAGCGAAGACAGCGCCAATGAAGATGAAAGTTCAGTTCATGCTCCAAGTGCCACAAGACGACATTAACTCATCACTCCTGATGTTCCGTGTTAAAAAGAGGTGGGATATATGATCAGCTGTGTTGGACGAGAGGGTGTCGCAGTGCAAGAATGCGCCACTGCCATGCGTGTTCCGTAAGGTAGTGCAATTTATGTATCACCTGCTGTCATGTCCATATTTCCTAAATGAAAGAGGTTTACTGTTATCCAATCTCATGTATCTTACATCAAATTAGCCATCCGTTGACATAAATCTGGTGGTTGCAGCAATTTAATCATTTAAAGCGTCCTTCACAGGCTACGACGGATAAAATCTTTGGCAGCTAGAGTTGCGAAGTGTTTCTGTTAGAAATATGTAGATGTGGCCAACTTTTTAGAAATTAAAGGTGGAAAAAGAACAGATTGGAGTTCCGTGACTTTCTCTCGGTAACTCTATTTGGACTTGCATGACTTTCCACATCTTTCTTGAGCTTGCAAGAAAATGACTGGGTGAAAATCACATCAGCTAGCCTGCTGGGAGAAATGGAGGGAACTTTGTTTTTGCCAAGCAACTAGCCTTCCAAATGATAGTCCCTAGCTCTTCTATAGGTGGGATATACCTCTCTTACCTGTCAGCAAGAGGGACAATGACGTTAATGATCCTTGAATTTTTATCTGTTGTGCCATTGTTGATACTTAGTTTTTCGATTAAGTGTGAGGGTTATATTAGTCAATTTTTCAATTTGAAGGGCATTTTGGTCATTTTCCAAGTTTATCTATTTGAAAATGTTTGAGAGGGAATATGAGTCAATTTATGGTTAATTTTATATGTTTGAAGATGTTTTCAAAATAAGAAGAAAGAGGTAGTGATGATGAATGGGGAGTTAGTTTAATCTAGCATAGGAAAGTCCCTAAACCCGAATATCGGGTTCGGACTCTAAGGTGGCCTTTCACATCTTATTGGGTTTCTATCCGTTCTAGAACAAGTTACTGGCAAATCTATCATAATAATGATTTACTTCAAAGAACGTGTGTAATTGGTAGGATTTACGAGGGTCCGTGCAAAGGGAAAAATTGAATAAGCTATTAATTCAAGTGCTCTATAAGATTTATCTTCTCTACTGGTGGTGGAATAATTGACCAATGTAAAGGAACTTGCCAACAGAAATCTAATCACCAAATCTCGGATGAAGAGCCAAGAGTCGTGCATCACCCTGGGACCTGAACGTGACTCTCATATTCCTTCAAAACATTTTAATAAAGAAAACGTGACTAACGAATCAAATAATTTCTTGCAAGTTAGGAACATTGCGCGAGGACCGTGAAGAAAAAAAGGGAAAAAGAAGAACTTAAATGGGTCTAAATTACAGACGAGAGAAGGAAAAAAAGAAGAAGAGGAACATGAAGTGGGTCCAAGTTAAAGAGTCGGGTTCAGGATTGTAGCATCGCTTTGCTTTTTCTTTTTGTTGGTCAAAGAGAACTTTTGTTCAATTCCGAAGGTAATGAGACGCAGGATCCCATAAAAGGAGCATCAAAAACTGAGCAAATTTCAAAGAGCTTGAGGGGGATGTGCTACCCAATGTGGTGGAAGATTGTTTTTGTTTATGGACCTTAACTACTCAATCCGCTGCTCGATTGGTTTCTCTTTCACAATGGGCTAATAAAACATTTGAGAGTTGGCCCAATAGGTCACGGGCCTACACGATAAGTACTTTTACTTCCCACATAAACTGATAGGTGCTATTCAATGCTTGAACTAAAGCCAAACGGTTAGAGTGTACTTCAACTTGGAGACGTTTGTGTCTTCTTGAGAGGAGGTATTGCAGAGCTTGAAGAAGTGCTCGGGTTTCAGCTTGAATGGCCAAGGAGATCCGGCCAATTTTCAACGCAACTCGTTAACATGACCTGAAAAGGACACGTGATCGTTAGTGCATTCAGATTGAGTTTAAACGGATTAATACAAATAATAAACGTGTCCTTTGCTATTCGATCCTTTTTTAATATGTTTATGACACGTTTAGACACGACCGGTTCAATACGTTAATCTATCTTGGATTGATGTAAATTCACTAGATATATTGAAAAGAGTAACCTATATATAACTATAATTTGAACCATCTTATTTGTCGAGTGGTTGATACTGGAAAGGGTGAGGAGAAACAACTAGTGTGATTACCTCCTTTGAATGTAACCCATACATAATTATAAATATGGCCTGTTAGGTTCTCAATTTTAAATTTTTTTAAGAGGATTTTATTTTCTTGATATGGAGGATGACCTACTTATCCTATGCAAGTACACTTATATGACTTGTTAGATAGTATCTTATTCATCAAGAATCTCAAGTGTCTTGTTATATATGGTATCACCAAACATTTCACTAAACTAATGATCGATACTAAAGTTTTATAGTTAGAAACTTGCGCAGTTATGGTGGATGTGCAAATAGAATTGAGCTCGGGCCAGTTTGACAACAAAACACCAAATCAACACAAAAGCAATAAAAATCATCCATGCATGAGATACTTTTCTTCTTTCATTTAATGCATGAGGCAACTTACTTCTGTTCATTCGCGAAAATGGTTGGTTCACTATTCTTTTGCCTTCTTAGGGTTTTGAATGGATATTGTCTTTTGACAAACGAGTAAGGAGTCATCTCAACTATATATATATAAACTCACACACACATTCCCCATTATCCCTCCTATACATTTTGCTATAACCGAAATTATATTAGAGAGGAGCGATGACATTCAAACTAAGCAAAAACATGGCATTCGGCTCCATTTCAGATCTGCGAAACAAATGGAACATGTAAGGGGCTTGGCCATACCGAGCCTCTAGCTTCGGGCCTGTATTCTCAATTGGCCCGTTAGGTTTCACTAGATTGATCTTGATGTACCTTATTAGAAAGAGGTGGGATCCATGATAAGGCTGTGTTGGACGAGAGGGGTCATAGCGTGAGAATGCTCCACTACGGTGCTTGTACCTGCTAACATATCAATATTTCCTATCAAATTTGCTATTCTTTGACAAAAAATCTGGTGGTCCAGCAATTTAATCATTTAAAGCGTCCTTCACGGGCTATGATGGGTAAATCTTTGGCAGCTAGAGTTTCGAAGGGTATCAATTAGGACACTATGTAAATGCTGGTGAACTTTTTAGGAAATTAAAGGTGAACAGAGACCAGATTGGAGTTTTCGTGACTTTCTCTTGGTGACTCTATTTGGGCTTTGCAAGGCTATTTCTCCATCTGGATTGCAAGCAAATGACTGGGTTGATAATCTCATCAGCTAGCTTGCAAGGAGAAGTAGGAGGAAACTGACGTTGTCTTTAACAAACTACTAGCCTTCCAAAGCCCATTATTGCATATTCTTAAGAAATTTGGAATCTATTTTCTACAAAAGAAAAAGGACGAAAGAAAGATTTTTAATGATGAATTGCCTGTCATGCTTCGAGGTACAAGTGATATAGTTTTACATAAAGTTGAATTTAGGGGTATTTTGGTAATTATAAGAAGTTTGAGAGGGCATATTAGTCAATTAGTGGTCAATTTCATGTTTGAAAATGTTTTCGTGTAAAGAAAAGAGGTATCGATGAAGGGGAATTTGTTCAATTTAGCAAGTCCTTGAACCTGAATATCTTATTTGTAAGGTAAGGCGACCTTCCGCATTTTGCTGGACTCTTAACCAGTTTAGAATAGGTTGGTGGCGAATTTAGCATAATAATGATATACTCCAAAGAACATGAGAAATCAAGTTACGATCAATAAGATTTGGGAAAATGCGTGCAAAGAGTAAACATTATTTCAAACCGATGGCTAAACAATTGGTTCAAATTTGACAAGTGAGTTTCATAAATGCAGTTGTTCACTTGAACTAAAAAAAAATGAATGCATACCATTTCCACGTGGGCTGTGTTTGGACGACCGGATAAAAGCCAGGATAGGATATGTTTTATCCTATCCTGTGTTTGGTGGTGGTCCAAGATAAGATAAGGTCGGATATAGACCGGATATAGCCCGGATAAAAAAATCCGAGAGGGGGTAGGATAGACCTGGATAGGATTTCTAATGCCTATTTTTCCATAAACCATACACTCCACTCGTTGTCATCTTTATCCCCACACCTTGTGCGCTTTCACCAAAAAAATTTATCGGCTTTTTTTCCTTCACCGACTCCTCTGGACCCGTGCATAGCAACAAAAAAAAAATTATCCTATCCGACTTTAAATCCGTAGTCCACCAAATAGTGGATAGGATATAAAGAAATCCCAGGATTTCTTAACCTATCCTATCCAGTCCTATCCTGTTTAAAAATCCGGATAACCAAACACAGGTAGTCACTTTCGATAGATTTTGTTCCTTATTGTTTTTCTTTCAGTTACTTTAAACAGAATTTTCATGCACGTAATAATAGCTATTAATTTAAGTATTTCACAAGTTTATTTTCTCTGCTGTCAGTAGAATAATTGACAAATGTAATGGAGCTCAACAACACAGATCTAACCAGTAAATTTCGAACGAAGAGCCAAGAGTTGCGCATCAATCAATTATAGGACACCAACGTGACTCACGAGTTCCTGCCAAAATCTTTTTAAAAAGAAAAAAAACGTGAATCACGAATTACGTAATTTCTCGCAAGTTAAAGAACATTGTGTGGGGATCGTAAGAAAAAAGGGAAAAGAAAAAGAACATGAATGGATCTAAGTTAAAGAAAAAAAGGAAAATAAAACAGCATGAAGTGGGTCCAAGTTAAAGAAAAAAAGTCGATTGTAGCATCGCTTTGTTGGACAACCAATTTTCGACACAACTCGTTAACATGACGTGAAAAGGACACATGATTGTAAGAGTTTAAACGGATTAATCTTTTTATACACAAATAATGTACATGACATTTGGTAATTGACCTTTTTAATTTATTTATAAAACGCTTATACACGACTAGTTAAATGATTCAACACATTACCCGTGTCATAAAGATCTGATTAGATACACTAGGCATGGTACTACACCCATTTATATCTTAAATGTATAATGTTGTGCAACTCGTTTAACAAAGTTGTCGTGCTTGGTTTTCAAAGATATGAAACGATTAATAAACGAGTTGAATATGTACAAATGATGCAGACAAGCGCATATAGCAAAATAGACGCGTAAGAGTTATGCAAGGAAATGATGTCGAATACGTGGAAGAGTTCAAAGTGAATGCTCATGCAAAAGACATTCACATGCCAATGAAACAAGCTTAAAAATTGAGCAGTGATATGATAAATGTTTGCTTGCTCGATGAGAAAAGTGGCCGCTGCTTGCTCTTTTGGTTTTCCTTTTGGTGGGGGGAAGTTTTGATTGCCAAGTCCATCAGCGCCATATGGACAAAATCCGCAATTTGAAGCTTCGCATCTTTGTTTAGGAGAAGCAACGGCGAAATGAACAAATGATGATGAGGCCATGCATCTTTGAATTATGTGGACCCCAAATGGAATTCATGTTTCAATGGCTGAGATTGACTAGGCTCATGTGCACCCGATTTATGAACGTATCGCTCCAACGTGATTCACAGACTCCGGCAAAAGAATTCAAAAGAAGAAAAGAACGCAACTCATGAGTCATGTACAAGTTAAGAACATTTAGTGAGATATTCCAGAAAAAAAAAACACAAAAAAGAAAGGAATATCACCTCTGGTCCAAGTTAAAACAAAAAAAATCAAAATACCAAAAACATACCTTAACCTTCATCAAGTGACCACTTATAGACCTACTTTTGAAAATACCAAAAATTTACTAGAGTTTTACAAATGAAAGCCACTGTACATCTTCACATGAATTATCTTAGTGTCCCTATTTACGAAAAAATCATTTTCTTCAAAAAAACGTCAATTCCTAATTAAATCCTAAATTCTCACAACCACCTAAAATTCTAAAAAAAATCAATCAAAAACTAAAACATCCATACCCTAAGCAAGATGCTAAAATGAGTTTGTAAAAAGGGGTAATTTGGTCTTTTCAATGTAGGATTTTTCTTAGAGGGATGTGAATGGTACTTGCATAAATAGAAATTGTAAGTAGTCATTGGTCAACAATACGATGTGTTTTTGATATTTTCCCAAGAAGAAAAGGACCCACTCTAAGATCATTATAAGCACTGCTTACAAAATTGAACAACAAATGAGACACTAATATATAGAAGAAACGACGCAACAAACTGTGGTTAGCTACTTGAACAACTGAGTCATGTTCAAATATTCAATAAAGATGGATCCTATCATTTACAACTCGGTTTTATAAATCAGTTTAGTATTTCTTTTATTAATATAAAGAAAAGATTACCAAATTTAGTCCTTGAACTCTTAGTCAATGTTCAATTTGGTATGTAAACTTTAATTTTAGTTAATTTGATCCTTGCGGTCTTTGATTCCAATCTATTTATTTGGTTTTTTCTATGGTTCTGTAAATGAGGAATAGCTCCTATTGACTAATCTCATTAAACAATACCAGTCCATTCTCCAGCAAATATATATGGTTTTGTCCGATAACATGAATTTCCGATTTTTCGGCACAATATACCATTATGGATGCATGCAAACTGCCTTATGCATGTGTATTAATTATATAGTATTGTATAAGACTCCACCTATAAAATGGTGAGTACAATCTTTCGATTATTCCAAGTGAGAAACATTGAGATCCAAATATGACTTCATTATATCTTAACCAAACATGTAACTATTAAACTAATTTGTTGGGTGTTATATGATTTTGTTAATTCTTGATTTTAATGTTTATATGATATTTTGCAGAATTGTTGAGTTTTTTAACTGGGATGATCTATCTTGGATTGATGTAAAGTTAAAAAGAGTAACCTATATATAACAATAAATTTGAAGCATCTTAATCGTCAAGTTGGTGATGCTCACAAGGATGAGACGAGACAACTAGCATGATTACATCCCTTGAACATAAACCATACATAAATATAAGTTTGGCCGGTCAGGTTCTCAATTTTAAGTTGGTTTGAGAGGATTTTATTTTCCTAATACGGAAGATAACCTACTTATCCTATGCAAGCACACTCATATGACTTGTTAGATATGTTCTTATTCATCAATAATATCAAGTATTGTGTTAGATGTGGTATCACCTATCATGGACGCGCAAGTAATTGAGAAAGGACCTATTTGATGATAAAACACCAACCCGACACAAAGCAATAAGCATCACCCATGCATGAGTCTGCCATTTAATGCATGAGATACATTGCTTGCAGTTATTCATGGAATGGATGGATGAATAGTGGAACTGATAAAGGACTGATTCGACGATAAAGCATCAACTTGGCATAAAGCAATAAACATCATCCATAAATGAGATACTTTTCTTCTTACATTTAATGCATGAGATACTTTGCTTGTGTTTATTTTGCTGAATAAATCGATTACTTTACCATTTTGGATTTTTTAATAGATGTTGTCTCTTGACAAACAAGCAAGGAATCATCTCAACATGTGTGTTCCCCAAATTCCTCCTATACTTTTCGTTGTAACCAAAATTATATTAGAGAGGAGCGATAACATTCAAACTAAGCAAAAACATGGCATTAAACTACATTTGGGATCTGTGGAACAAATGGAACATCCAAGGCTTTGTCATACTGAGCATCTCGCTTCAGATCTTTCTCATTCTATTTGCACCCCTTAGAAAGAAAATAGCGAACTGCCTCCTTAATTTCCTCTTGTGGTTGTCCTATTTGATGGCTGACCGGGTAGCCATATTTGGGATCGGGCTCATCTCTCACAACAAATGCAATTCGGCAACTTGTACAACTGAAGTAGATGGAGTTCTTCAAGCATTTTGGGCCTCATTTCTCTTGTTACATCTTGGCGGTTCGGACACCATCACGGCGTTCTCCCTAGTGGATAGTTCGCTTTGGCAACGGCACCTGCTCAATCTTGTCTTCGAAGTCTGTGCTACCATTTATGTCTTCGTGCAGATATTTCCAAGCGACAAGTCATTGATGATCCCAACGATACTGGTGTTTCTTGCCGGGGTCATAAAAAATGTGGAGAGGACACTGGCACTTTATTTATCAAGCCTTCCAAGGCTCAAGGAATGGGTGCGCCCACGGGAGCAACCATCGGGGCATGCTACTCTTGTCATAGATAAAGGTAATGGTATGGTTGAAGAACTCTCTAGTATAGGGAATGAATATTCTGATCAAAACAAAGCATACCTTGCCGAGAGCATTGCGGTGAAACATGCTTACGTGTTCTTTGACATCAATAAGGTCTTACTCGGAGATCTCCTCTTTACATCCGACCAACGCGAAATCAGCCGCAAATATTTCTACCAAGTTCCTGCGTTGGATGCCTTGAGGGTGATATCAATCGAACTCCAATTCATGTACGAGATGCTCCACACAAAAGCGTTGGCAATAAGGTCCAAGTGGAGCTACATTTTCCGCTTCATAGCCTTCACTAACGTTGCGATAGCCTTTGTCCTGTTCAATCACTTGAAGAAGCATCGGCTCTCTAAACTCGATGTGGAAATTACTTATTCCCTTCTTTTTGGAGGGATTGTTCTTGATGTGATAACTCTGTTTATGCTCGTTTCATCCGATTGGACTGTTGCCAGAATCATGTGGTGCAACCGAGGATCACATAAACTAAATTTGATTCTTCACAAGTTAGTATCCGTCATGGATCGACTGAGGAAGCACCGATTCGTCCCATGTGAAGCAGAGCCTAACACCAGTGTTGCTTACGAAGTCTTAGATACACATTTAATATTTAGAAGATGGTCAGAATCGATTTCTGCTTGCAACCTCTTATCCCTGAGTTTGACAGAGAGTCCGAGAAAGATTTATAAGCTTGATTGGGGCTGGGGCATCATCGCTTTTTCTAAAATCTGCAGTTTCCCATTGAAGAACATCAATTTAATTCTTCGAGTTGGTAAGGAAATTGCCAGAGCGTGTGGTCTTCGTAAGAGAGTAGCGGATACAATGTTCGTGTCCAAGAATCCCTTCATTAAGGAGTTATGGATCTTTATTTTTGAGGAGGTGAAACGTAAATCCGAGAAATTGAGTGATCTGACAGAGGTGAGGGTGATACTTGAGACTAGAAGTGGTATGTTTCTCAAGAGTAGACTGGAAGAGATCGATTGCGAAAATCTTTTAGTGTATATCACCAAGCTTAGTTATGGTGGCAGTATTATAATGTGGCATATTGCTACGGAAATATGGTACAACAAAGAGAAACAATGCGTGAGAGATGACAAAAGGGAATTCAGCAAGTTCCTATCCGACTACATGGTCTATCTTTTATTTAATCAGTCTAATGTGGTGTCCGCCGTGGTGGGCGTTGCCCAATTTACATTAGACGTAATTTTATGGGATCTACGCTACATGGGAGCCAACGATTTAGAGGGGCTATGCGCGGCATTGTTCGAGAAAAACTCGTCAGGAACCTCGTTCGACGCGGGGATCCGTTTGGCCCACGAGATGGAAAGGCTTGGGGAAAGGAAGTGGGAGGTGATGGGCGTGGTGTGGGTTGAGATGTTGTCATATGCAGCAAGTCATATTAAGGGAGAGGCACATGTGCAAGTGCTTCGCAAAGGTGGAGAGCTTCTTGCCTTTGTTTGGCTATTGATGGCTCATTTCGGTTGTCTCTACAATCCTGAATGGGGCTTATTTTATGGAGAACGGGATGAGCTAATTTCGGAGATATTATCAGATGCACAACCGCCATCTTTGTGAATTTCATCACGAGATGCCGAGTAATGGATAATTATCTAGACGGCAAGCCTTCGCTTAGCGAATTTACGATTCGTTGCAACGCTATCGATTCAATCGGTTTCACATTTCTTGTGTGATTGTGTGTAAAATAATGTAGATTCTTGTTGTATTTTGTGATGGAAGCTATATTTCGATTGCTATAGAATAATCGATACGAGATTTAGGACTATATGCGATTTTATATTTGTGATTTGTGTTTTCATGTAATTCCTGTGCGAATAAAATAATGGATGGCGTGTCAGAATGCAGTGGATATTGCGCGATGGATGAAGTTTGCGTTGAGATATTAAAGCACAAGCAAAGTAAGTGGTGTTGGGTCACAACAAGATAGAAAACACATACAATTAGATTCATTGATTTCTATTAGACAACCGGTTGTTTATATTCCTATGAACCTAAAGAAAGTTGCTCAATTCACCGTGGTAAAGCACCGGAAAGGATCAATTCACCAGAGAGTTATGTAGTTAAAAGTCGCAAAAGTTTTCGACCCAAAAAAAAAAGAGTCTGCACAAGTTACGTACTTGAAGTTGAAATTGAGAGAATATTTTTGTTCGTCCTTGCCACGTCGCGCTTGAGTTCATACATGTCATTGTTCATCGTACACAAGCAACAACGACCTTTAACTTATTTGTCATCCCCGAACTGTTATCTCATATTGCATTTAAACGGGTCAAGAGAGAATATCTTCCAAAAATACTCCTAAAAATTATGTAACCGATATTTTCTTGACCGCTTGTGCAACTTATACTGAAACAAATTCTAATAATAAACTCGACGGCGAGTTCAGCCTCGCCGCGGCTGGGCCTCGCCTCGCCCAGCAGCGCCTCGCCCGCGGCAGCGGCGAGGCCGACCTCGCCGTCGCGACCCGGGCGACGGCGAGGTCGGCCTCGCCGCGGCCGGGCCTCGCCTCTCCCAGCCGGCGGCGAGGCCTCGCCTCGCCCGAGCGACGGCGAGTCGGCCTCGCCGTCGCGAACCAGGCGACGGCGAGGCCGGAGAGGTCGACCTCGCCGACCCTCCCCTCCTGGCCGCCGCCGCGCGGACCGGCGGAGGAAGAAAAAAAAAAAAAAAAAGAAAAAAAAAAGAAAAAAAGATTAAAAAATTGAAAAAATTTAATTAAAAATTGCCACGTCAGTGTTGACCGGACGGCCGGCGCCGGCCGGCGGCCACGTCAGCGCCGGCCGGCCAAAATTGACCGGAAGGACTGAATTGGCAAGAATTAGAAAGGTTTAGGACTGAATTGGCAAAATTAAAAGGTTTAGGATTGAATTGGCCGCCGTACAATAGGTTTAGGACTGATTTGACAATTTTCCCTAAATACATTTCACTGGAGTTACTAAAAAAATGTAAAATATGTATCTCATTATTATTTTAAATTTCAAGTACAGCTTATTCGATTAAGTGAATAATGAATAACGAACTTAATAATCACGTTCCTAATGGAAAATATTCGCTAATATAAAATAAAAAACTAGCGAAGAGAGATATGTTATTAAATCAAAATGGAAAGAAGACGATATAAAAAATATATTGCTACTGAATAGTTAGTTAAAACTTAAAGTATTACTTGTCTAAATAAGTGAATAAATTGCACCAAGGAAAGAAATTTACTTAGTTTTAACAAATAATAAAGCTAATGATTTAGAATATTATGAAAGTTTATGTTACTTTATGTTTTATAATTCATATTGAATCAGTTGTGTATAATTTAAAACGAAATTGAAAGAATTATAGCGATGTAGAAAAAAAAATCTTACGATGATTACATATAAGTGTATCCAGTTACTTTGATTTTCTACCTAATTTGGAAGAGCATATTACTGTGTTCATACATATCAAGAATCCTCATGGAGCTCATGGATACGCTATAAGAGCAAATCAGTCCAATCAATATATAGAGTTTAAAAAAATGTGAAAGTATCATTTTCAAAATATATATATATATATATAGACACACACACACGAATTTTGTAAATAAATGAAATCTTTCAATTTCAAGTGTGGAATTATTTCTTCCTTTTTTGCATGAGGTTGAATACCTAAAGTCACCCTTATACTTTCGAAAACCTTACGCACAATTGCTTTGTTTATTTCGCAAAAAAATAATAATTTGAAAATGAGTTATCTAAAATTATATCCATTATCGACAATATACTTTAAGTATAGATTGTCGTTGATGATGGAAGTATTTATTATCGATTCATTTTCCTAAATAATAAGACCGGGCAAAGGTTGAAACATATTTTCCGATATGCTGGCTTTCCACGGCCATCCCTAATCTCCAAATCTTCCTCTCTGCTCTCTTCCTTGCCTCAGCAACACTAAACACCGCCGCCGCCGTTCGCCGTAGCATCATTTCTCGCTCTTGCATCGCCATCCTGAAGGGCCTTTTTCCTCCTCTCCCCCGAAAAACGTTAATTGTTCTCAGCCACTCAAGGAGGTCACAGGGCTTACGTGACCTCAAATCACAACAAAGAGAGAAGGGAGGGAGAGAAGGGGCCTGGCAATGCCTGAAGTGGCGATCGATGGTGGCCGCCGGCGACGGCGCTTTGTTCACAGAGCCATCAGTCCAAGGAAGAAGGAGAAAGAGGGAAATATGAAAACGGAAAAAGAAAATAAGAAGACGATGCATATTAACCACTGAAATTTGATATGCTAATGTGTTTTTTCCGTCGAATGAATTATTTGTGCAAGCAAATTCATCTTAAAAAGAATCTCAATCCTCACTTCTTTTTCCTAAGATTTGCTATTTGTTGGTTTTAAATTCTGTCCATCGTGACATGCACATTTTAGTGAAGAGGCCACGGGGCAAAGTGGAGGAAAAAAGGTTCAATCTTCCAAATTACATCTTCCTTTCTTCCTTCGTAAGTTAGATGAACTCCAAGTAGCTTACCACACAGGCCTATTCCCGAGACGATCCCAGAGACATTTGCTAAGCCTTTAGGAAGCCAATAAGGGGAAGGTTTCGTTTCAAGCGACATGTCAAATTATGACAGTTAATTCAGACTCAGAAATGGGACATACTTATTGCAAGAAGCACACGGTCAGTTCAACATGTTACCAGAAAACCAAATCAGATGATTGAGTTGTGGCAACGAGCATGGACCTAGGCATTTCTGAATCCGCCCTTGGCAACGAACATTTTGATTCCACTCATCTAAGTTAATCATCTGGCACTGTGACCTTCGAACAAAGCCTTCATTGGTTTACAGAAGCTTCATCCGATTCATTCGATCAATTACCTGGGGCCATCTCAAGTCACGACTCCATGAGTCGATCCAGGACTAATTTCACAACAGAGGGAGCATCAACAGTCACCGCCACCTTCACTGTCGGTTTGTCGGACCATTCTGTGTGTTCACCGAACCTATTTAACGAAGTGGGTATAGCTGAGTGGTTAGAACAAGCATACTCAAGAGAAGGAACTTTCTACAAGCATCACATATGAGGACGATCCAACCTCCTACAGTTTAATTTAGAAACACTACCTCACCTCGATAGTTCTATTCTTTGTTATTCAGCAACAATAGAAGAGAAAAATATTTCTGTCCCTTTGAAGGGTACTTGTGATGCAAATCTGGTTAGTCAATAATAAGGGCAACAAGAAGAAGCATAAGGCTACGACTGGAACCAGAACACTACCAAATTCGACAAATGGTGATGCTGTTTCCGTTTGTTTTTTTTTTTTTTTTTTTTTTTTGATAACCGAGGTGTCCGCGCGGCCGGCGAGCTAGGGCTCAAACCAGCGGTGATGCCCGACTAGTCCTCGAGGGGGGCTAGCGCAGCATCCCACCGCCACGACCCCCCACTTAAATCACCGATGGGCGAGTTTGTGCTGTTTCCGTTTGTTGCATCTTCGCAAAATCAAAACTTTTGGGAAATGACTCTTTGAGGTTCCAGACTTTAAGCAGATTTTCAAATCCAGAAATGTGCCCTTCACAAAATAGTAGATCCTGGACTTTTTATCAGGTTCAACTAATATCAAGAAGCCTTGTTTCATGACATGATGCCACCATCAGCAGTCAGCACTCATAAGAAGATTATGTTATATTTGTAGAACAAGTGATCTGAAAGGGCCCAGATAATTGAGTTGCGGGATTCTACCTACCTTTTCTGTCTATTATATAGTATAGTGAGCCCTCTTGTGATACCAGTTGTTTGCACTCTAACCACACCTTCAGTGGAAGTTACAAGTGAAGGGATGATAGCTGCAAGTATTGCTGTTGGATCGTGGAGGTAAACTCCTGCAACAAAATGACATATAAGTGTTAAATATAAACAATGATCAGAAAATAAAAACCATATCCTCAATCAAGATGTTTCAGAAGGCATACCTTTTGTGAAGTATGCTTCACGATGATAGGAAAAGTACACTTCCATGATTCTAGAGAGGTACTGAGCAAATCTTCCATTTGATTGAACCAACTTATCTCTATCTGCATCTGTAGTGTCTCAAAACAGTTCGGATGAAACCCGGCAATCCAAATCTTGTTATAGTTTAACCAATCATATATAATTGATAATATAAAGGATCATCGAACATTTTATATCTTCCATTAAATGGATTAAGTTTCTGGTTGTTGACTGGCCTCGGACTTTTGGTGTCACTACTGTTAAGCCAGAAAACACTTCAAACAGTAAGAAGCTGCATATTTGTAATTTGTCGCACATAATCAATGAAAAAATATGGCTTTGTAATCCGTAGCGCATTCTTTAGCCAAAAAAAAAATCCATATGGTAAGTCACGAAAGTACACTTCCAAAACTATGCTGAAAAACAGTTCCAGCCCTTAAGTAAAATCTACACTTCGGTTAAATCATCAGAAGGAAAAATATTAGTGTAAGTGTCTCCAAAAATAGGCAGATAGGTAGCTTTTTACTTATAACTAGAATGTCTAAAGCATCACTAGAAATTCACTAGCATTATCTATGTGTGCTCTGTGCTAAATCCCTTTAAGTCTATTAAAACATTAGTATTATCAGCAAATTTTAACTCTAGCCGACTTTACCTGTCAAAACAACTTGATGGGTGACATTTATTCCTACAGCCAGAATATCAGCTCCACTGGTAAAAACAATGTCTGCAGCATCTGGGTCGCCAAAAATCTGGTCAGCCAGTCAAAGATATACAAGAATAAGAAGGAGAGTTATAAATCTGGACCTGAGCCATTTGAATAACTTCAGGTTCGACTGGTAACTCTGTCCACAACCCAAAAAATAAACAGACATTTCGAAGTTATTTCAGATAGAACCAGGTATGTCCAACCCAACATACACCAGCATTATTATAGGACAATTAGCAAGCAAAGTTGGGCCACACAGACTTTTCAGTAATAAATTAGAGAAAGAGAGCCTCTAAGCAAACTTCTAGCAGCTGTTCAGGTATTACATTGCAAATTTTTCATGGCTTGGGAGAAAAGGAAGAAAATTGACAACTTACATTGGCTTCAGCTGCTGGATTCACATTGCCATTCACAGAAAAAGCTCCACCAAGAAGCACGATCTGCCCAATCTTTCTGGAAAAGGTTGGATCTTGGTGAAGAGCCTGGATTACACATCCATTTGACAACTTATGAAAAAGCCATTGCCATACAAGCCCTTTTTTTTTTTTCTCGACTGAGTGAAACAAGCATGACAAAAGTTCAAATATCTGACCAGTGCTATATTTGTGAGTGGGCCCAATGCAACCACAGTAACTTCCCCGGGATAAAGGTTTGCTTGCTCAATGAGAAAAGTGGCTGCTGACTGTTCTATTGGTTTTCCTTTTGGTGGTGGGAAGTTTTGATTGCCAAGACCATCAGTGCCATGGACAAAATCCGCAATTCGAAGCTTTGTACCTTTCTTTAGGAGAAACAACGATGAAATCAAACAACTGCTGATGTTTCTTTAAAGTAAATAATTGGGCTTTAAGTCATTTAGAAAGTGCATGAGAATCAGCTCACAGTCAGAACGCCATCCCAATTTATCAAACTTAAGTATGAGATCTGCAAAGTTACGGTTCAAGAACATCACAAATATGATGTAAGGCATCCAAGAGTTCCCAGTAATTATTATGAAGAACCAAGAGGTAGCCCTGCGGTGTTTTCTTGCTTTACAATATAAACTTGCTATGGTGATAACAAGAGATTCTGTTGCTTAGTGAGCAATGACAAATGAGAGCTGCCCACACTGAGAAATAAAACGAGAGGACTCGCAAGCCTCTTCTATCCTAGGAAACCCATTACATGTTGAATGCACCCATGTACCAGGACAAAGACACACACAGTAACCGAAATGAGTACAAAATCAAGGTCCCTCACATGTGCTGGTGTTGACACTACCACTACTAACACCACCTGGTTATATCTACAGATTAAGATCCTATCAATTACTTGACTATGTTTATCCCTTCACTTCAACAGCATATGCATCTCAACACCCGTCTTTTTGTCAAGGTAACGAGTCATGATTTGAAAAGCCTATATCGAGTCTAAGCGATCAATCGGATCCCCAGAATCCTATATGGGCAAACCACGACAAGCACGCAAGTAGGAAAGTGCGTACGGTGATTGTCACATGGGACCCTTCAGCCACAGGGATGTCGGTCCGTCCTGCAACCTCCAGCTGCACCACAAAAAAAAAAACAAACACACACACACAAGAAAGTAAGGCCAAAACGTTTGAGCCACAAAAAATGTCAAATTACATCGAGATCGATTCTACAACCAACACCAGAAAAGTTCAACGTGAGTACATGAAATCCCGGAAAACCTCCCGCAATAAACTGTCACCCACTACCACCAAGTACACATACCAAATGCAAGGCGTTTCTGGTGGCCAGAGTCGTGTAGACGTTCCCGTATATGGTGGTGAGCCCAATCACCTCCACCTCCGGCGACTGCAGCGCGACGAAGATCGCCATGGCATCGTCTGAACGCGTCGAACCGAGTCATGACCGTCGAGAATCGAGACAAGCCCACGATCCAAAATCGGGCGATTCGACGAAAAAATCGAAGCTTTACGGGTGTCGAATTCTACGTACCGATGCCGGGGTCGGTGTCGATGATGATCTTCTTCTTCTTCGCGGCCATGTCTTTCGCTTTGACCAAACAGCGCTGTGCTTGTTCTCTATGGCAATATGACTCGGCCGGATCGAGAGGATGTCTGCCGGGAAGGCGGGTCCACGATGAACTGGACTTCTTACCCGATCCACGTGCAAAACGGGAGGAACTTTTTTATTCTTCTTAAGCAATCATCATTTAGGCCGATAGGAATGCGGTACTACTGATAAAAGAGATTCAAGAATGCTAGTATTATAGGTGTGGAGTTCGACTTCTCCGTTATGCAAGAAACGCGGCAAAAGCTAGAAAATGAGAAGAGTTATAAATAAGATAGATAAAAAAAAAAGAAGCAAACTTCAATCATTTATGATCATGTTCTTCGTGAAATCATTAAGAATATTCATAAATAAAATATAGGATTAATATCATGAAAAAGCTTAAATTAATACATTTATGATAAATTTACCAAAAATTAATTTTTTAACCACAAAAAATCCCTAAATTGATACATCCATAATAATTTTACCCATCGCTAATTTTCGTTAAATTTTACCGTCAAATTACTAAATTGGATAATGCGTGGCAGTTGACGAGTGTACCGGTTTGGAATTTTATGGTCACATGTATACAGTTTGTGATTTTTTGTAGTATTAATCTAATTTAACGAAAGATAAAGTTGTCATAAATGCACTAGTTTGAGATTTTGGGTAGTCAAAAAATTAATTTAAGGTAAATTTATGGATTAAATATCTACATTATATATGTTTCATATGAATTCGTAACAAAAAACAACTTGACATTGAAATGGTTCAATATCTATATTACTTACTGGAGATATCTCCTCCTATTGATATCGATATCCCTAGGAAATTCAAAATCCAAAATCATCCAATTACATATTTTAGTCCAGCAATCAACATATATGCTAATTACATGATGGATAGCGTTGTCGATAACATGTTATTAGATATTATATGTATATCCATAAGGTATTGTTATATAATTAGCTATTTATTCATTTATTTTTATAGTTAATATAACATAAGCTACGTATATACATATATATTACAATATGGTACAAAATTTCTATAGCAATTAGTCATTAATTATTCATGATTGTACAACATGCAATTATGAACATAATTTATGTATTATTAGCAACAATTATAATTATTATAGTTTTAAAGCAATTGCCTCACTTTAGTATCCAATTTATTTTAGAAATTTATATTATAACAATTTGAATTAATTTATAAGTATTCTAATTATTAAAAATTATTTTATTATACACAATTTTCAAAACTTCAGAGAATTTTTTTATGCTATCAAAAAGACATGTTTTAAGATTTTTTTTTCTTACTCGATTGAGTTATTGAAAATAAGAAATAATAAACAAATGCTCACATGACATAAAGTGCTCTCATTAGATAAATAAGATTGAAATGATCACTTTCTTAGAAAAAAAGAAAAGAAAAACATGTGGGTTTGGGAAAAGAAACTCCCACTCCTTCCCTCACGTATCAATTTAGCATTCACTACGTGTATGTAGCCTCAATTTGATAAGACTTTTGGAGAAAGTTTTTGAGAAAATGCAAAGAATTTTAAGTGAAAGGGTTTTTAACGGGACAAAAAAAAATTCGGATCAAAATTATCCCCCGACCTAAAATTAGTATATTTTTATGGGATAAAAAAAAGTTTGAATTAGAATTGTCTCTCGATCTAAAGTTGATAATTTTTTTTTTGTGTGGAATTAGGCCTACATACTTGCTCTCAGGAACACCTGGCAATTTCCCATTGGGCCACCGCCGTGCTCCCTCCACCCGTTAACCGTTTGTTACTTTTTCTTCGTCGTCACGCGGCATCTTCGTAATTTCGGATGGATGTCGAGGGTGAAAATGTCCAGAAAAGTGACCCCACATTTTCAAATCAAATCACACACTCTCAGGCCTCACTGAGATCCATCCCCCTCTCTCTCTCTCTCTCTCTACTGTCTCCGACCATGAAACGGCCGTCGTACTCCTCGTCGTCGTCCGACGGCCAGCGGAAACGCGCTCCAGGTCCGCCGCCCGCGGCGGCGGTTCCGGGGAGGGCGAAGGACCAGGCCGGCCGGAGCCCGCTGCGGCACCTCAACGGCATGGTCTGCCACGGCCGAAGCAGCAACGCCTCCTCCTCCTCCTCCTCTTGCTCTTCTTCTTCCACCGTCGCCTCCATCGAGGCTCCGAGAGGCTGCCTCAGGTTCTTCCTCTCTCACTCTTCTTCGACTAAGAACGGTCCCGGTAGAACTTGTGCTGCGATTAGGACGCCCAAATCGGCTCCCGTGAAGCCGGCGAAACCCGATCTCCGGCGCGATCGCGCTGCGAAGATGGCCAATCTGGAGGTACCCAGAGCAGTCAAACAGCCGAAGCTCAAGAGGAACCCTCCCTGTCTTTACCAGTGGCAATCTGCTAAAACTGCCGCTTCTAGGAATGGCAAGAAGTGCGGTAGTTCCTCTGTTTCTGAAGCTGATGGCAATGTCGCTGCTGAGTTTCCATCCGGTTCCGAAGCGTTGAAGCAGGAACCGATTGAGCTTGATTCTGCTGGAAATGGTCATGCTACTTCTACTCCAATTAATAAGAGATCTGGCGGAGAAGAGACACCATGTGCAAGTGATAAAAATGTGGAGAACTCTAGTAATAGCAAAATCAAGACTCCTCCTATCCAGGCTTCCGTGTCTCCGGAGATACAAGGCGGGTCAGGTTTGATGAACTATTCCGGAACGATCACGTCAACGGGAGGCACGCATCCTTGTTTCGGTGCTGGCTATGTTGTTTCAGGAGTGGCCGATAGAAGAAAATGCAGGCCTAGGGGGATCCTTAGTGTTAGAGAGAACGAGTCGGAATTCAGCGTTAGTGGTAGTCACGGCAATGATGATGATAGTGGGGTTGCTGACAAACCTAGCATCTCGCCAGTACCTTTACTTTGCGAAGCATCCGTGCATTGGTTGTTGTCTCCATGTAATGAGGAGGACGAGGAGCAAAAAGATTGTTCTGAAAATGAGTCATGCCCATTTGAGAGGTTTGAAGAGGAAGGGTCTGCTCTCTGTTCTCTTACTTCACCCTCGTCTGGTCCTGTGTTTTCTTCAGATGCTGGTAATAAGAGTAATATGACATGTACGGCGACAGGTACGGATAGCAATAGTAGGGGAAGGGATCCTGAGGTGACTTCTTCAAGAGGATTCCTTGAATTTGACGGATTCTTGCAGCCTTCACAGTGCAATGGTGATGTTTACTCTCCAACAGAGGTGACCCCTATTTGGAAGGATTTTTCTTCGAAGGAAGAAAGGAAATTGAGTTACGATGTTGATCGACTGGATGACCCATTAACTGCTGACTCCCTGGGCAGTGGAAATGTTATTCGAACCCCAAACTCAGACTCAAGTTCAGACGGATATTTCCGCCTGTTGTGGGTTGATGCTCAGCATGGGAGGAAGGATCAAATAGATTCCGAGATAGATCTACTGACTCAATCTTTTAGTAATGCCACTCTATCTCCAGACTACTCTAGGTCTACATGGGATTCAACAAATCTGAATTTCCAGTTAGATTGTCTAGCGATGGCATCCAACTCCATTGATTTGGCACAAGTTCAAAATGTTCTTGATAGCAAAGTATATTGGGCTTCCAATTCCAGCATAGACAATTTATCGCAATCCAATTTGAGGATCTCTTGGAGAGATGGTTTAGTTAATAGGATCTTTGAGATGGATGAGAATGATTTTTGCAAATGCTTATCCGATGATGAGGACGCCACTGGCAGCCATATTGATCTAAAGTTGCATGAAAGTCCCGCACATAATGTAAATACTCAGAATGTCGCTGCTGAAAATGTTAACGATAACATTACCTTGGGCTCAAATCATTTTGTGGATGAGAAGCATGAAACTGGTCAGAAAGTCGAAGACATGCATTCCCTTCAAAAACAATTCGAATCAGTTGAGTCCATAAGCTTTGATGGAGGTGGCCTTCTTGCTTCAACTTCAAGTGATTCAGACTGGAATCTATGCTACAAGAACAGCTTATTCAAGTACAAGCATCGGGATCATTTATCTAGTCTTGACCAAGGTTAAGTACTTGAAATATAACATGAGGGAGGTTTTCCTTCGGTGCAATCTAAAGATTACCACTTCAAGAGCACTGGTGAATTCTTTTCTTTCTTCATTCCAATATGCATTTGCTTTCTGTAACTGCTGAAATGTAGTTCAAATTTGTCAGCATTCAAGACGGCAAAAAATATGCATCTGACAGATTAGTGTGTTAGAATTTTTATGGGCAAAATAATTAGATATTAATCTGGAATGTTGGGGTTGAAAACACCGCTCTTGGTATCCTCGTGCAATTATGGTTTTGTAATCTAATTGTGCTTTTGGCCACGTAACTTACCTGGTGTACTAGGATTTTTTCACTTCTTTCTTTGTTCTATGAAATCAGTATTAATTATAGAAAATGGTGCTTTTGGTTTTTAGACGAAGGATAAAGCATTGAGTTATATTAATGAAACTATAATGAATAAGGAATAGCCAAATTGAGATACTATTGTTTGATCTTACTCATAGTTTGGGACGTCTTTTTGGGATTTGGGCGAGTGAGGGAGAAGGCTACAACTGACACTTAATTGAATGATTACTTATATTGATGGATCAATGGCAGTCTGACAAATATATGTGGAAAATACTTCTCAGCGTGATCCCATCTTGTCCTTCCATCCAATGGTAGCGAGGAATAGGAACAATTAAGGAAACGATAACTAAAAGAACTTAATAGTGATTTGTTGAGCACAATCTTGAACCCTATGATCCAAGGAATTTCTAAGTATCTTACATATGAAAATTTATCGGGAGTCCCTTAAACCTATACAAGAAAGAGATTAACCGAAATGGTAGAAAGAGATTATCCAGTGCTCTGAGAATGATTAACCCATATGTATGACCAACAGCAAGTTAAAGATGCGATTAATAGATGAAGAGAATGGGAGCATGAACTAACATTCTGAAGTAACCCTTGTACTGGATAAAATATTCATCAAACTGTTTCAGAGTATATATTTGCTGGGGTTTTGTTAAGGTGTGCCTCGATAGCACTCGTTAAGCAGCTAAAGAAAGAAAGTTGCACTTTTCCTATGCAGTAATCTACTTGTGTTATGTGTAATTAGTGGTTTGAAGATCGAAACATTTCTTATTAAGTATTAAAAAACTGCCCTAGGGGCACTTGTTAATAATAACCATTTTTCTGAGCTCATTTTCTCATTCTCCTGCCACCCTCCATCTTTTGATGCACAGACTAGCACAGAAAACGTACAACAACTGCAACATAACTTCCAAATATATTAACTGATTCTGTAGGTAATCGAATATTGTTCTTATGTGACTCTACTCATTACCAACATCATGGATAATGAAATGCCGCCTGATGGTAGCAACACGATATTTCTTCCAGAATCTCTCTTGGTTAAGGTGATTGGATTTAGCCATATGGAATTTGAATCAGAACTTGTCTCCTATTTTTGACTTGTTATGTTTGCTAAACGCTTGTGCTGCTAGATGTGCTTCCTTGTTTAGTAATAGTTGCTTTGAGTTATATGTTCTAATCTTGAAAATACACTGCTAAAAGATGAAGTGATGCATGCTGTTCATCTGCTCAGTGCTGCAGATTCAACTATTTAAGTGGGTGGTAGTGACACTACGCATTGCCTGATAGATAGAAATTTTTTCAGCCAATGGGGTTGGCTCATTCAATGCTTTAATCTTAGTCTGTGTGCAATTTAGTTGTACATGCCTTTTCCTTATCTCACTGAAGATCGAAAAACTCCTGCATCTTTCATACCGCTGCTTCTCCAGTTTGTATAGTTGCTCCAATTGTTTTTGGTCTTTTGAGATGCTTTGTTTGAAAACTTCATTAGGTTAATGTTGTAATTAGTGTCATATATGTCATGCTGTCTAAGAAATACGCTCGCATACATTGTCGGGATTTGAATTTTTCATATCTGGAGAAGTTTAACTTGCATTGTTGATTTATTGTCCTTAATAAGGGATGCTAGTTGTACTTGCCTCATGGTGGAAAGCTAATTAAGAAGATAGGGTGGTCGGTACTACTTTTCACCCCAGATTGTCTTCTGATTCACTGAAGTGTGCTTGTGGTTGATATATGAGTCAAATACCTGATGATAATTCCTCAAATCTTCTCTCAGACATGATGACCTAATTTTCTAGCTTTATATTGAACCGGTGGTGTTTTAATACACTTCATCAATGATACTGTGGGATTAACTTATGGAGTTTCTGTAATAAGAAGGATTAGTTACGTCTAATGTTGAAGGTCCATCCCAGTAACTATGTAATGGGACTTCTTTTATGTAGAAATAAGGCATTCCTTCAATGAGAGAAGATTCGTTATGGAATTCTATCTCATGGCACATTTGTTTTAAGATGTGGTTGGGTTGCAACAGATATGGAGCTAAGCATTTCTTTTTAATGTGAACACACTTTTTTTTTTGGTAAGGAAATGTGAACACGTTTGTGTCCCACCAAAACTAATTTTTGCACAACCCAGAACACATTAAACACATGAACATAGTATGCAGTTTCACTCATTATTCATGTTTGAAATCTCATGGTTTTGAGCATTAAACACGTTGATATGTATTTACACAAGAACGTTGCTGATTAGTTCCTTAATAGAAAAATGCTGATTAGCTATTTTGTGTTGCATCTTGCAATCTGTATATAGTGATCAGCTTGTATTCATGCATCGAAATCGTGTCATGATAGATCACCGAGCTGTGTTCTAGTTAGAATCCGTGTAATATGTCTAATTTATCATGACACAATTACGATTAGTAACTTGAATTGTCAACTCATATGGTGTTGATTTTCCCAGAATATCTAGGACAGGACAGAAAAAGATCACGGAGGAAGAAATTCCAAATGATCACTTTCGAGGTTGCAAGGTTAAGGAAGGCGAGTTAAACGCATCGGTCGAGTTCGCGAGAAAAGAGGAAAGGCAGTTAGCATTGGATTTTCCTTTGGCAAAAGTTATCAAAAAGGCATATACTCTTCATCCAATCACTTACCCTGTCTTGCCCAGTGACACAAAACTTCGGAGACCATCGTACGTTCCAAGTTGGCCAAGGAAAGATTACCAAAGCACATTGAAAAGTTCCACAAGCTAGAACACTTGATAATAATGAAACTTGTTAGGTATGATACAGCCAATAGGATTACATAAGCAAGAGACGGTCCCCTTAACCATCTAATTAAATAAGAAGAATAAAGAAATAAAGAAGCAAAGCAGATATTCGAAAAGGGCTCTCGTCGTTGAAGTATTCTGCTAGTCGTGGAATGCTTCAAAGGGATATCTGAAGAAACGTGACGTCGGAAATTTGATAATTTAGAAAACTCAATTGTGCTTGAGTGATTCGTCATGCGATTGACGAACTGATATGGACTCTTTTTTGTTCAGTGCATCATCTCATCATTCCCAACTTCACTCGGTTGTCTTGTTTGTGCTTACCCCTAATTTCGTTGTCGAGTCCTAAAATGCAAGAAAAAGAAGGTTGTGTGGTGTAATTAATAAACCGATCCTCGAAAGAGAGAATGGAAAACAAATTTTGGGGGCAAGAAAGCGTACCCGGAAGCTACTTCATCTTCTGAACTGTAGAAAACTTCAACTGGTCAAACCTCTAGAAAGGAGCACGAATGACAGCTGAAAGGGTGGCTGCCCAATATATTAATCAAATTGGATGCAAACATTGACTTTGTCAAATGTGTCTCATTGTCTTCATTGGCCTTATCTAATAAGCATATGCCAATGCCAATCAGGAATACGATGAAGGTTGAAAAACCCAGAAAATGCCTCCCTCCATTTGCCTCTTTTTATAACATTGATTCAAGCTAAGTCAGCAGCATTTGGTATCACAGGTCATTGCATTCTTCTGTGTCCATCCATGGTGGTGATGGTGATGCCAACACTTATCAGATGAAGAGCCTCCAAGCAGTATTCAACAAGCGGACCATGGGCTATATGTTAAACGAAGCACCAAATTCAGCTGACTTAGCTAATTGACTAATGTTCTAACGATATCAAATCAACCATAGCTCGAAGATAGAATCAAGCTCCAGAATAAAATGTATTGCTTCGGCCAAATTTCTTACTTTCTATGCGTGAATCCCGTGCCGATAGTTTTTTAGAAGTGTCAGCAAATTGCAAAACCTACCTGTAACTAAATGCTGATCGGCAACTTATTTAGCTTGGAATTTGTTGGTAAGTTGCCAGCATAATTATAGATGTGCATATTGTTATTTAGTCCGAATTGTGTAAGTTACCAGCTATAGTTATTTTGATTATTTCAAATTACCAACAAATTATTGAAGTAGTTGGTAATTTGAAAAGTGTTGGTACTCTCGTAATTATTGAAATAGTTGGTAAGTGTTGGAACTCTCGCAATAGCATCAGTAACTTTTCAATGTGTTACAGACTAAACAAGTTGCTGGTCAAAATATCGTCACCAGCACCGGACAATGTTCCGATTTCTACCATGTGGTTCGAAAGATCGTCCATACGTTCGGCCGGAGTAAGAAGCAACTGCGGAGGATGACGGCCGGTGCACGGCCGGTGCTAACCACACGCACACGGATTTTGGATGATTTATATTTCGGAATCTGGACAACTTAAATTAATATAGACAGGATGAGTGCACACATAATTTACAGAAGTGTTTGCAAGGCCATCAACCGGCAAATATCTATTGAGAACAAGTATGCATTGATCATAACTAGCGGAATTTCTACTGAAGCACCTGATTGAGGAATTAAAACCTGGTCCAAAACCCTCTTCAGCAATTCTATTCCTGTTGAATTATGGATATCTGAGTTGCCTTTTTGATTGCTTTTGCTGTCAACTTGGCCCTTCTGTGCATGTGCATTGCAATCAGATCAGATTCTTCTAGGACATAATTTATTATTATATTTTCAGAACTCAGAAATAGAAAACAGTTTGATGATCACTTGATCTCGTGTTCATCAATTAATGTAATGTAAAAGGAATCTTGACAAACCCTTCTTCGCTCTGATCGATTCACGTCCCCCAGCGCCGTGGCTGCACTCGTGCTGATATTCTATTATACCAGTGCTATAAACGGGAGTCGCTGTTGCTTGGTGGACATCATCACATCTCCATGATCAAGTCTTGCACACTTGGTTTTCGGTTTTTTTAGATTACCTTTTTCACTTTTCGTAAACGAGTGTAACAAGAGGACCCCATAAAAGAAATTAAATAACACAACAGAAGCAAAGATATGAGCCTGTAGGAAGATGAAAGGGACATGGCTGTGAAGTTGAAGCCTGGAAGGATAAGTACATTTGTTTGAAACTTGAGAGAAACGGAAACACATGATTTGACCGGATGAATATGCGCTGCGTCATCGATTTTAACATGCTCTCCTTTTCTTTAAATTATCGTCGGACCCTTCGTGGATGGAGGGCGAAAAGCTTACCCGGACCCGCGAAAAATTATTAAATGATTTAAATCTCCGGTAGAAGTAATCTGGTTTTCAGCCTTTAGGATGACGGAACTGACAGGGGTGTGATTGAAAGTCGAAGCCTTGAAGTCTAATATATTAGTTAAGAACAAGGAAGACGAAAGGAAGGCCTATGGTTTTTGGTGGTGGGGCTCTCCTGTCTTCAAGTCAAGAAAATCAAAACAATTGCCGTGTGAAGCTTGTCATAACCCTCGCAGTTTCGCACAGTCTATTTATAGATATCAAGGGAAAAGTACTAGGAGTCTCGTGGAATATTTCTTCTCCCATTTCCACCAACCCCAACATTGACAAAACTCTGCCTATTCCATCTGTTCCTCTCTGTTTTCTTCTTCCTTTCCCAGCAACAGCAGCCAGAAATACCCAGAAGAAGGAAGTTAAAGAGGGGGGCTGAATTTAGCAAATGGACGGTCTGATTCCAATGATGTACAGGGCAATAAAGAGGAAACGAGTTCGGAGCCGGTACGAGTGCTTGTCGGCCGGTGATGCTCAGGCGTTCAATGCTGCCGACTTCTACATGAATGGTCAGGTTCAGGCTCAGCCCCATTTGTATTTGGGGCCTGCCAGCGACAAGGCGATTCACAATCGGAGCCATCATCGCCGTTACGGCTCGACCGGAGATTATCCATTCGGGCTCACGCCCGGCGGCGACGAGGACGACATGAACGTGCTGAAGGGCGTTGCTGGTCCACATTCGAAGCAGGTGGTGAGGTTCAGACGAAGCCACAGCGTGCTCTCTTGTTTTACCGGTGCCTAGGTAGCTTTTATTATGAATTTCTCAGTCTCTTGCTCCTCCCTTTTTTTGTGGTTTGGTTTAGTTATGTGGTGAAGGTGCTAGCAAACATGAAGTCCCTGTTCAAGTCTGTAAATTTGGGTGCTCCAGAGACAGGGCAAGTCTTTTTTCTTTCTGGTTTTTTTTTACCCTTTTTCTGTTTGCCCTTAATGTATGGAAAAAGTTGATAAAGGAGAGGAACTCCGTGGTGTTTCTCTTCGGGACGGCTTCAAGCAGAAGCTGCAGAATTTGGAAGCAAATGAGGTGAAACCTCATAAGCAATACAAAAGCTTCATTTTAATTGATGATGCAGAGAAGGTGGTCCTGATAATGTCGACTCCATTCTAGTCCATTGTGGTAATTTCTCCATGTGGTAGCAATTTTCTCGAAAGGGGTTAGTAATCTATTGCTAGTAACTTTTCGAGCAGATTAAGCGTGGTCATATGACCTTGGGGGACAAAACCCTTTGAGCTATTCGTAAGTTCCTCGACCTTCGATTGTGACAACTCAAGATTAGATCGGTTCTAGACGAGGTCGACTTGGCTCGCAGTAGCTTAGGCATTCTGGTTTGAATTTTATCATGCTCTAGCCTTCTGGGTTTTGCCAGTTGAATTTGATGGCTTAAACTTCAAAATGCCTAAAGTTGTATAGAGATTCAGGGTTTCCCAGTTGGTAGGAGTTGTCCCCATCAGTATCCATAGGCTAGGCCTTGTTTTCCCCAACCAGTAACAAAGCATCAAAGAAAGGATTAATCTTTCTTCTGCTCATATCTCTTGCTAATGCACTTTTGTAAGTTGTGATTGTGAATCATTTGAAACTTCAACATTTTCTTTGACTGGACAATTCATTCTAAATTAGTTCCTCTAAGAAAGAATCAGAAAAGGTAATGTTTACCTAACGAGTCTTGTAAATTCCTACGATATATGGCCGCGTTTGATCATTCCAACGTCGACGATCCAGGCACGTTCTAATGGCACATTGTGATAGGGGAAATAAATACTTGCTTGGGCCCGGGTCCAATCAAGAAATTCCAAGACGTAACCAAACAGAATAAACATCCTATGTTCGAGACATATTCCGCATTTAATTTGTCTTCATATTACGATTTCGAGAACAACATTGTGCGAACAAAGATGCAAAAGGAGACAAGAGTGGATCTCGCATCAAGTATTTTGAGCCTCAAATGGACTCATAAGTGAAGTAATCACAAAAAGTTGCCGTACCCAAATATAGATTCCAGCATCCTATAGGACAAGAATCTTGAAGTTACATTTACACCTCATTTCATACGCACCTAAATCATATGCAAACAGATTATTTTGTTTATAAATGTTATGCATGCAAAAAGAGTTGGCAAGAGTAAAAGAATGACCTTACTCGCACGCGACATAATTTCATTTTCTTAGCAAAAGTAGAGAAAAAAAGAAATATACGTTTTTCCTCCTATTCTAATTCTTTTTTTAAAGCAACAAAAGATATATATATATATATATATATATATATATATATATATATATATATATATATATATATATATATATATATATATATATAAAAGCATTAGGAGCCAACAGGGTCACCGATCATATAAGTGAGATTCAAGAACAAGTTTAAGATTATAACCACTAAAATTTCAAGAGAACATTTGGTGTATTTATAACCCAAGATTAAACATGGGGGACGAATTGACCCTCACGTTCTGTAGCGAAAACCAGATACAGCTGAAAAATTCGTAATTATCAATGCCCAACAATCAAAAAATATTCACATGGAACAAAGTCCAACTATATTTTGTCCCAATCGATCAAACACGATGGGGGAAAAGAACGAAATCGATTAGTTCAAGAACATAAGAAGTGTATATAATCTGGCAAACTCTATTCGAAAAGAACGACCAGCCAAAGAAAACAATCCAACCATCATGGACAGACACTTCTTTCTGTTCTCTTTATACCTGCTTGCTATGGTGATCTGCGGCTCAGCCGCTGACGGTGCTGGAGATATACCGCTGAAGAGCGAGCTTCTGTGCAGGCAATGCTCCAAATGCGACACGTCGACATGCCCACCGAGTGAAGCCTACCCCCACATGACCGCTTGGGACGACACTCTCATCGCCGGTGCTTTGCAATCCGATTATGTCGCCACCGTCGACAGAGGAGTTTATTCTGTCCCGAATGTTAAGGGTGGCGAGTCTGCCAAATACAATGCGTACTTTGGTTGGCAATCTACTTCTGGTTCGGCTTCTGGTTATCACAGGTAATGAAACAAACATAGCCAGAAGAAAAGGGACATCTGCAGGCGAATTTCTATTAGATTCAATATTAGAGGCGTTAATGTGTATTGCACTTATTTACACTCAATTACTCGATTCGTAAGGTTGAACTAAACAAGGAAGTGGTTTGTGTTGTTTCGATTTCCAACAAACTTCCTACTCCAATGGCCCACAGATTCAGCAACTACATGGACAAGTGCTCCGGAGGACAGAGTTACCTCACCGTGGACAAGCACGGGAAAGTGGGCCTGCGGTCATTGACTTCGCTAGAAAACATTGCCGATGCGGACTGGAAATCTATTAACCCACCGAAGAAGTACAACCACCGGGAATTTCGATTTTGGGTTTCCGGCAGTACTGGCAAATGCCTCACTGTTTTCAGCGGGAACAGTGAGAAACGAATAGTTGGAGTATCAGACTGCAAGTTTGATGGTTCCAATCCTTTCCAGCTCTTTGCCTTCCGGTTCCATTACCACAAGACCTTCTGCTGCTGTGGCCTTCACAATGAATAAATCGCCTAGGAATTAGTCCAAAACCACAGTGCAGTTTAAGCACAACAGTAGTCATAAGGGCCACATTATGTCAGCTAATATTTCATCTGATTATGGACAATAATATGATGCAACGTAATTGTGCGTCAAGGCAACTCTCGATGCGTCCTATCACTCTTAAATAATGACTCCGACATCCATGAGTAGCTGTTGGAAGGGTGGAATTTCTTCAGGCATATGACCAGTGCTATGAAATGATGCTCGTGTACTTCAAATAGAATGATGACTACTTGTCATTACTCGAAATGCATGTATCTCCTTGTTTCCCTCCACAGAAACTTCTATTGACAGTGAATCTAAAGAACAGCAGTCTTACGACCTCCCCTAAGCTCTCTCAATAACACAATGTAGACCCACGGCACAAGCAGCACGAATGAAAAGAACTCATGCTATTTAAAGCATATAAATTCCGATGCACATTTAAAAATGAAGAATGGGAGCGATCAAGATGGAACAGTCTACTCAATGATTTCATTGCTCTTTTTGACCACTTCACACCTTCACAAATTTGTAGTCAAATCAAACAAGCCTGTCATCATAACTATATGGTATGACAGCCCTTCTGTTCTGGTTATTCCACGTTTGTTCAAAATAAATCCAAGTTATCCATGTCAAAGTCACCAATATACTAGTCGTTCTCTCTTTCTTACTCTTTCTTATGGTGATCGGCAGTGCTTGTCTCCGTCAGACAATTCCTTACTCTTCCTCCTCTTCTCCATCATTTTCTTCCTGAAGCCCTTGTCCTAGTCAGAATCAGATTCATACCCAAGAATCAGAATCAGAATCAGAATCAGATTCATTACACTTATCCTTCCTCTTGATGATTTCCTCTAATCCTCACATTTTTCCACATCCTTCTGCAATTATTTACTCATTCCTAAATCAAAATAATTGAATGGAGCCCCACTCATTCTTCATCTTAGGCTGAGGTGGAGGGTTCAAGTCACTCCTTTTCACCCTCACTATCAGCTGTATTATTCTGATTGTCCTTACTATCTCTTCCTTTCCTTGATCCAGCCAAGGCACAATTCTAAATATGTGGTCTTAAGTCTTAACCACAACCCGACTTTTTCTTAATAGCCATACTTAACTACAGAAACATCTAAATTAACCAGTCAGATATCCACCATCATCAAACTTCTTGCATGGATCCCGTGGCCGATCAGGTTCTTACTAACATGAGTAAGAGCCAATTCGGCATGGAAGCTTGCATGTGTGTTCTCAGCTTTATGTTCGGACAAAAGATTTGTGCTTCCCAAGGCAATCAAAACAATCTTTATTGGGAGCAGAGGGCATGCAAACCCTACCTGTTATAGCAACTATCTTCAAAGAGGAAGATTCTAATTGTACTAGTGAAATAAAAAAAAATTCACTATAATTCTCTAAAGTCTCATCCACCAATTCAGCCTAGATCAAGTAAAGATATGTATGAAAATCCAGAAATCACGTTGAAGGCTCAAACAGTTCCTAATGAAGGAAAACAAGTCACCTGCAACCAAAACTACCGAAATAACCACCAAAACTAGCTACAATAAACAAGATAAGCAGATAAATATAATTCAGAAAATAAACAGCACATTTACATCAGGGACAGAACTATTCCTGATATTTTCAACAGACTGTGGATGCATTACCTGGTTTTAGGTAAATGGAAGGAGTGCCAGTATATAGTTGGGAAGAATGAGTGCTATTAGATAATTCTGAGTCTCATATGATCAAAGGATCCCTTATGAATTTGGGCCTGCTGCAAAGCAAGAGAATTTGAATTCTAAAGGTGAAGACGTAAGACCAACCCCATCTGTGTTCACCAATTCAAATTGTATTCCAAGATTAGTTTTAGTTAGATACCCAGAACAGGCAATTATGTAATACTTGCTTTCCATCGAAACTGTTCATAAGTAAACCAACAGTAACAGTCGAGTGTGCTACATCAAAATTGTCAGCCTTCTGCAATGACGAGCACTGCAAGAAAAGCTAGGAGTATTAAGAACTGCTAAGCTCAACTATGGATATACTATACAATATATTCAAACAGATGGAATTGTTTCCTGGCTATCTTCACTGCTATTCAAACAGGGTGGCTTGGCTGCTCCATAGTAGAAGAACGCCATTATCTTTGAAAACTCATCTGCAGTTCGAATAGCTGAATTGACAAGCCAAACAAGGGTCATAACCAGATTTATGTTGCAAGAACCCTTTCAAAGAAATTTATGAGCAGAAAGTACCCTTTTCACGATATAAAATCTTGCCAGCTTTAGTGAAGATAATCTCTGGAAAGATGGAAACTTGCAGAGCAGATACCAACTCAGGCTCCTTAATAGCATCAACTGCAACACACTTTTTAACAAGACAGCAATAACAAGTCAGAAGCCATTTTTTTTTTTTTTGGTTGAAAAGTCAGAAGCCATTAAAAAGGTGACAGATGATGGGAATTAGGCATAATGCTCCTTACTCTTGGTGAAGGTAGTCTGCAGTTCCAAATTATGTGCACGGCTTTCTCCAATTCATCCCTGATCTTTTCATTCTCTTTTGGCCTAAAAATAATTTCAAAGATCCAATAAGAAGCTTTCTTTCAGCAATGGTACAGTCGCAAACCATATAATCCAGGGTAAACAACCAAGATCTACACATTATCTACCTCCAAGAGCTTCAGCCATTTCAATGACATAAAGTAGCCAAACAAACATATTAAAAGAAAATAATTTGCCACTTTTCTTTTCTAAACTTATCTAGGAAATAATCAAAAGATGTACATTTACATTTTGCCTTTCGATATTTCAAATGATCACTAGACAAAACAGAAACTCAACCAATCACAGCACTGGTAAAAGTGAGTTCAAGATACTAGCATTTTCATGTTTTGCAAGCCAACATACTTAGCTAAATGAATTCATAGCTTCCAAAAATGAGTCAGAAAATCATTTAACTGGAAGAAAATCAACTCAAGTGACTTCGTCGCGAAAGAACTACAAAAAGTGACAGACAGGAAACTGCAACTGTGCATGCTACTATCACCTTAAACTATGCTTCCAAAAGGGGAAAAATGTTAAAAAAGTGAGCATCGTGTACTCTCTCAAACAACAAAGAAAGAAAGTGGCAGTGATTTCCCATACGAAAAGAGAAGTACGACACCTTTTAAATAGCTTGGAAGGCCTTACATGTATTGACTTGCAAGCAACAGAATTGTGGAAAGATGAACAATGAGAACCAAATACTGACCTCTTGTAGCGGTTATGTACAAGAACAATCAAAGGACTAATATCCTTGAAAACGGCTTCCTCCCATTCAGCAGTAGTGATATCTTTGATGGGGCGGATATAATTATCATCTTGCCACACAATTTCATTTTCACTGTCATAATTTTCATCATCTTCCTTCCTAACGTTCTTTATGGTGATTTTATTGAAGAATTGGTCCAAATTGAAACCCCGACCATCAGCATCATCAGGCCAATCAGGATCATCCTCCTCCACAACGAGGGGATAATCAGCCAGGAGCTTCTGCATCTTCCTCCTCCTCTCGTCAAGGTCTATCTCCTCCTCAACATCAGGATATTTATTGATCACTTCTCTAATTTTCCTTCTCCACTCTTGCCTCTCTTCAGAATCCATGAGGTGAGGGTCATTATCCTTCACCTCATCATCTTGCTCCTCGTACTCAGAATCACTACTATCATCATCTTGCTCTTTCTTTCCACCAAGAAATTTGGGACTATGAGACGTTTTAGAAGCTCCAACGACAATGCTTTTCATATACGTACCCTAATTAGCACGGAAGATAAGAATGAGAGCCAATGCGAAATTAAGCATTGAAAGAACTTAAGTGGACGCCAAAGAATCGCACCCGCCGATGTGCCTGCAGAATATTTGAAGAGAGACTAAACCATCTCTCTGTATTCTTCAATGGAGTCTTGAAGCTAGAAAGTAAAGTAGAAATTGTTCTGCTGCCTGTCAGAGTCCAAAACGGAACTTGAAGAATACTTGCTTGTTGTAGTGCCATTTCTACAAAAAGCCAATTCCAATCAAGTATGACAACAGTACCCGATATCGTCATCTATCAACAAGAAGTTTTGAGAAAATAACTAACAAAAAAAGAGTTCATTGGCTCAACCACATCATATTATTATTGGCACACCCCAATTCCAAGCTGAGTACAGGGACCCAAACGGCGGTAACGTGAAGAACGGAGGCATACCCAGTGACCATTACAGCAGACGAGCCTTACAACATATAGATTATGAACTGGTTAGAGGTTTCAGAGCAGTGATATCCGCGAAAATACAACCCAGCAGCTATAGCCATCATTTCGACCAAAGGAAAAAAACAAAAAGAAAAACCATAGCCATCATGAAAAGTCAATGAAAATCGAGGAACCAACTGCTGAAATTTCTTACCCAGAGCTTGGGAATGGGCTCTGTCCCACAAGTCTGCGTTCAGCTTCTGCAAGTCCCTCTCTTTCTCTCTCTACTTCTCCCTCTCTCTCTCTCTCTCTGTGCCTCTTCACCAAAGCTGAAGATGGGTAAAGTTAGCTAATCACCAGCGTGCGGCGTACTCACAGTACAAATACACTAGTTGGGATTAGGAGGGTGCAGGGGAGCTTCTTTTCTACGAGAATGACAAGTGGGCAATGGAATTTATGTACGTGCTCGAGGCGTGGAGAGAGCAAGAAGAAGAAGAAATGGAGATGCATACAAGAAGCTGCAGACAAGTGGGTAGCGGAGACTGACCTTCAACTCTGGCTGGTTTGGCTTGGAGCTGTGTGGAATCTGGCGGTGCATCACCTCGCCTGCTGAGAGAGAAGAACAGGGGATGGTCCGAACATGTAAAAATCTGTGCTTTTTCCGTATCTTCTTTTTTTTTTTTTCAAAATTGAAAATAGAAAAAGAATTATATCTTTCAAGTTTTAGAAAATTGTGAAAATTTACATTTCGTATGTCAATATCGATATTATGAATTTTAAGAGATTTTGGATATTGCATTGTGGAAGTTGTGAAATTTGCAATAAAGAATAAGTTGCAAACAAGATGAAAACCTCATATTTAAACCTTATAAAACCGTAAATTTTTTTGTTTTATCTTTTACATGTCACAAGCATACATAAAAAGTTCTTGTTTTATAATTTATTCAAATTGGATAAAGTGTTGAAAATTTAAAGTGGGATTGACTTTGATCCACAGAAACTGGTTAAAGGCAAAAAACTCCAATATCGATGTTAATTCACGATGGGTGTTTTTTGAGACGTCTGATAAAAATAGGATGTTAATTCACGACGAAAACATATTTCTTAATTCTTATACCCGTCATCGCCCGTCGGGGATGCAAGGGAATCTTTCGCGACGGATAGACGACATTTGCGAAGAGCGTTCTTAGTTCCAAAGGGCCAGATTAGCGCAATCTCCATGCTCTCGCTCAAGAGTGAGTGCTACGATCTCTCACAGACACTCTGTACTTGAGGATAGGAGCAACAGCAACTTTAACATTAGCTTGTCTCTCTGTTTTGGGTTTGCAGCAACTGACCATGCATAGTGCGTCGATCTTGCGTTTTGTTCGTGATTTGCATAAGATAAAGGGATGCTAAAAGTGAGTTTCGTGTAGTTTTGTATAAGATAGCTTTGAAGTAAAATAAAACAAAAAAAACCAAGGGAGCTACTGTTTCTCGTCTTGGAGAGGGCTCAGGCAAGAGCTCCGAGGGCCGTTGCAAGCACAGGCGAGGGCTCCGATGTCGACTGTCGGCAACCATCGACACTCGACCATCATTGTCACTCGACCTTCAGATTTTGCCTAACAGTTGCGAGTGAGGGCAACGTTGGAGAAGATGAACCAGGTGGAGACCCTCGGCGAGCAACCCTCAATGGAGATCCAAGTCACATGACCCTAGACGAGCGACACCGGAGTTGAGCGACGCTGGACAATGGGTCGCTGAGGTCGCGCGACCTCAGGGCGACCCAGATCTGGCCCTTCGATGATTGGTGCGACCCAAGCTAGGGTCGCCAAGGATGCACAACGCCAGGTGAGGCAACACCGAGGCCACGCAACCTCAGCAATCACCGTCCAAAGTTGAAGAAGATAGACAACCATGGTTGAAGAAGATGATGGGTCAACCCTTGACCCGTGCGACTTCGACGGTCGACCCTTGACCTATGCAATCTCAACCTAGGCGACCTCGACCTCGGCGACAAGGACCACAACATCAGCAACCAGCAAGCATAGAGACCATATGTCAAAGAAGACGAGACGCTGGGATAAAGAAGTTATCAGTAAGAGCAAACTAGAAGGGAAAAAAAAAAGTCATTAAACCCCATTAAACCCCACAATACCATTCTGAAAACTCTGAAAGCCCATGCCTTAGGCTTTTAGTTTTCCCAATGCTAGCATTTTCACAAAGTGATCCAAAAAAGGTTTGCCAAACGACCTAACTTTTTTGAAGAGGCTTTAGAGGCACAAAGTCCCATGAAAAAGTTGAACCAAAATGATTGGCAATAATGAAGATGAGATTAGCCAATTGAAGATAGTAGGCTACCCCGATTATTAATGGTTTAAATGGGCATCAAAATAATTCATCGATTATGACCAGCACAACAACTCATGTTCCTACACAGTCGGTAAAGACCCTTCTACTTGAGGATGATTTGAAGTATAAAAAATTTCGACTCGCTTAATCTCCGCAAATGCACACATGTTAGCAATGCAAAATGAAAAGTTCTAGGAATTCAATGCACGAAAACTTTCAAGTCTACGGATAAAAGAAAATTAAGTAGCATCAAGTGCATTAAATGTCATGGCATCATCAGCTGTCACAGACGGAAGCAACCAAGCGAAGAAACCGAGCTTAGTTTCTTGCTTGAATCTTTGCGACGAGTACTCCACCATCATATTCCAAAGGTCTCCCACTGTCCATCCGTGCAACAATATCCATCGACTCACCTACTCGTCATCATAAAAAAGACAGCCGATCTCCTTTAACGTTGGATTCACAAATTCAAGCAGTCGAAGAAAAATAATTAACAACCATAATTTAAGGCAACAGACTAGGTAAAGTATGAATAACACCATCCCGTTTGATATTATACACCTGCTAAAAAATACAGCCGAAAAGCAAACAAGGGTATAATCTTAAAAAAAGCTTGGAAAGTAAAAGGTGGGAAACTGAACTTTACTTGTAGAAAATAACTGGTGTCAATACTATAAATCTGTACGCACTTTAAAGTCAATAGACTCTTAGTGTAAGAAGAATGCAACAGAAATTGGAAAAATCTTACTAAAACTACTGTCATTGAACTGAACCATGCGAAATAACAAAAAGTACCTGACGTAGGTTCTGCAATGCCTCCACACCGAATGTATAATATGAAATGAAGGGTCTCAATGCCTGAAAATTGTACAGATAGACATGAATCTAATGAAACAAAAATGTCAAAACATCTGTTCTTAAAAGAGACATCGATGCCCTATGCATTCCATCAACTAATGGAATCCGTTGAAAATTTGGCAAAGTAAGAGCAAACTATTATGGCCAAGCAAAAGAAAAGAATAGGACAACGTTTAAGTCAACAAAGATGAAATCCTCATATTGCAAAATCTTTGTTTTAAGATAACTGAAGAACCTAGTTCTACATGATCAATGCCAATGCAAGAGGCTCAGTTGCTAACATATATCACCTCGCACTGCCTACCTCCTATTGTCAAAACTTCAGTTAGGTTGTCCAATGTACAGTTTTTCATTTTCCAGCAAAAGATAACAACAGACAAACCATAAGGAAAATCCAAAAGAGCTATTTATGGAATACTAAAATGGCTGATTTTAATTTTCCCCTGCCAAGTTTTCCCCAAAAGATTTCTTCAGCTAAACAAGAGAATTCGATACGAAGAACATTCAGCTAAATCATCCTACTCTTACCTTATACTTTCCTCTTGGTTATCTAGTTTTCAGGCCTCTGACCTAATCCTTAATACACAGTTGACCAATTTCTACAGAAAAATATCTCTCTGAACTGGCAACTCTAGTTTCTTCAGATAAATCCACGTCATCCCCTTAAATACTGTACTGGGTTCATCTGTTCAATCACTTCCAACTCATTAAACTAGGTTAGCTCATTTTAAAGTTCGTGAGCATAGGCGGGCTTGGATGATGGATTTCCTTTCTGGTCCATCCACCCCGAGTATTCTCATGTAATCTTTCTAGCTTTTTAAGGTACTTCCATTAATTGAATGGGTCCAAAAAAGATAGAGGGGATGGTATGGCCAAATAACGAAACCTTAGAATTGGCCGGATCAGCCATGATTGCCCAACCCCTCTAAAAATCTGGTTCACAAAGAAAATAAAGCTTTCTCCTCTTTAGGCTATTGACCGTAAGCTTGTCTCTTCTTTTCTTTTCATATACATCAAAAAGACCGATATATAAGTGTGGGCCACCTATAATGAAGTATTTTTGCCACTAACTATTTTGGCACTTTTTAAACTAATCCCATGTTTCAATGTTGTATCTCATACCACATCCTTTTTTTCTGAAAAGTTGTTCCTGTTTGGTTATGATCAAACATTTCTACTCACAAACAAACTTCTTGTCCTGTACCTGCATTCTCGAAACTTCAAGCATCCTCATGCTATCGTTGGAAAACTTCAAACTGATCATTCAACTATACTTGTTATCGTAGTTAAGATGTTATGTACTGATGTATGTGTTGACATCAGATAAACCTGCTCACTCATATTTAGCGTTGCCACATCAAAGAAAATGATTGTCAATTGTAAGATATTGCTAAAGTAAAAAGGATAACATCACCTGAGAAGCAGCAAGCCACTGAATCATGCTCTTCAGCTCAGGATCACCTCCAAAGGCTCCACAACCCCAGTTCCCTGTCACGACTCCAATATTGTCTTCATCGTCGGGTATATGAGTTAAAGCCTCGGCATTTGGGACCTCTTTGTCCCCTGCTCCACCTTCAGTTCTTGCAAATGTTGCAGGATCTTTCTGGAGCTGTCCAAAAATTGACAACATCCTCAGATAAGTAGAACTGGATTTACATATATATAAAAGCAATGACTTAACAAAAGAAGAAATATGATACTGCAAAATGTGAAAAATCCCTGACCAAAGCATCATCCCCAGATACATGATTTGAGACTTGGACTTGGCCATCAACCAATCCAGCTAAACAATTTTCCTGGAAGACCCTCTCATACAACTGATACTTGGAGTCATCAGAGAAGCCACAAAATGCCTTATTAATCTCCCTGTGATTGCAACAAGCAAGTCTCACAGTTTTAAAAACATAAATATACATATAGGTTTTGATATAAATATGCATAAAATAGTAACTTCACTAAGATAGATTGGATACGAAAATTTTCAACTAGGATTCACCGTAACAGCCATCGAATCTCATTATAACCAGCATGATACTGTAGATGTTGTAGTCAAAATAAATGACTATTATTGTGTATAAATAGGAGAACTTTCCATCCAAGACCTAGAAAGAAATAAGTCTTCGATTGATTTTAGATGTTGCTCAAGTCTTCCATAAGAAAAATTAGCAGCATTAGAGAAACCATTTCTTTCCATGATCAGTAGCTAGAAAGATAATATCCCATCTATCATCGGGTGAATCCACATATTCATATCTTTCTCACAACTTTACTTCCTTTCCAACCAACCAAGGAACCGATGAAAAAGATTACTCTAAAAAATTCCAAGACAATTGATTCTTGTTTGGACAAAAATGGCTTGAAATGAGATTTGTCTTCGGCTCTGCTACAGCACATGGATCTGAGAACCTTGTTCAATTTGGATATTGTTTAATACTCTCCTTAGTCTCACTTGTCTTATAG